GCGAAAACTTTGCATACTTTATCACCACAATGAAAAATTGCCTTTTATGCAACAACAAAAACAATAACATTAATAACAACAAGAAAAAGCGCTGACAAACAGCGTCACTATTTTGCAGCCGGACATCGTAAATGAGTAACTCAGCAGTGAAAAGCTAAACTAGTACGTAAAAATACTAGTTAATTAGTGGTATTTTAAGTACGACATAATACCAGTCCGCTACGATCTGTAAAGCACCAATAACGGCGGAGAAAAGTTTATACCACTACACCTGTGGAATACTGTGTTAATTTGGAAAACTTTTCGGACGAATTTTTCCCTGATAAACTCGACGTAGTACGCAATTTGCCGTTTTTTTTTTACATAGTCACGATAGGCGAGTAGTGAAGGATTTTCACTGTCGAATGTCAAACCTTTTTGTTTATACCTTACATCACCATGTCAGATACCATTCGCTAACATGTGAATATATTGGAAGTATAAAAAAATTAGTATGAGCCGGATGGTTAGCATTGAGTACTGCCATTCGGATGGCCCGGGCTCAAATCCTGGTATCACCAACATCCTAAAGTTCAAAAAATTATTTTATATAAAAATGTTTAGTTGAATTTTAATTGCGGTCGCCCCCCAACAGGGAATGTCAGTCCCCCGAGTGTATTTGTGACATGAAATAAAGCTCCTCATGATAAACCGTCAGCCGTTCGGAGGCGGCTTAATGTAAACAACAAGACGCAATACCACAAATTGGGGGAGGAGCTCGGCTAAAAATCGCTTCAGCGGTTACAAAGCGCCATTTGTATATATATTCTAAGGTTGAATATGTATGTATATATATAAAGTGGTACTTTATTCCGTTCCGTGTAGCGTTGTGGCTGTAGAATAAAAGGCATTGCCAAATTGGTTAGATGCGATAATGCAAATGAGCGTGGCAGATTATGCAGCTACAGTTATAGACTTTGCAACAGCTGCACATTCTGCTACTATATGGGTGTGTGTGTGCCGTGCAACATATGAGTTTGCTCATAGCGCTGACTGAGCTAATGTTTTTCAGATGTGTTCGTTATTGCCACCGCTAGCGGAAGAATATGCTTCTCCAGCTCTTTTGCCGTCCACAACTCTCCCACGGCTGATGTACATGCGTTATCAACGATGTTGACCATCATACATACATACATACATACATACATACATACATACATGCATAAAAGCTTAATGCATACATAATTTCGATCGGCTAGCAAACAACTCATTTGCATATGAGAATACGAGTACGTATGTATGTATATAGATGCATATTGCATACGCATGTTGTACCTAATATGAGAAATACGACTAAAATATATAGCTGCTTATTTACATATCTATATACATAGTGCATACCGATAGTGGAGCAAATCGATGAGTCTAGTCCAGCCCAACAACAAATGCAATTTAGGAAAATTAGTTTTTTTGTAACCTGTTTTTATTGTTGTTTTTGCTGTTGCTAATGCATATTTATCAAAGTGGAAAATTTAGTCTTTTAGCGAAATCTGCAATACGGCAGGTAGGTAATAAAACTCATTAAGCTCAATGTAAACGCGGTAGATGTACCAAACTTCACACACATACACAACCACACTCTCACAAACAAACGCATACCTATGCGTGTACAATCCGGTTGATTAGATATTAGCAAGGGAAACACACGTTAATAGAGAATGGAAAATATGCAATATTTACATTGTAAAACTGCAGAGAAGCATTGGGACTATAGAGAGCGTGATGGAGAGAAAGACCGAGAGAGAGAGGGAGAGAGCTTCGGATTGAACCGAATTGAAAGCAAAGCAAATTTGGTTGCATTTTGGGCATCAAGTGTATTGCGGTTGGTTTGAAGCATCAAAAACATATTTGTTACGGATGACCCTAACTGCAGGGCTAGCCAATGAACCTTCGAATTTAAGATGAGCTCATATGCATATATTTTATCCTTTAATTTAAAAATAAATATTCCTGAAAAGTTAATTTTTGTTTCATATTTAATTCGATTTTATAGAAACATATTTCAAAATAAAGGGCTTCTAGAGCGATTTTAACAAACAAAAAACATGTTTATTTAAATGTAGATCATAAGATTGTAGGCACATATTTTAATTTTATTCTTTTCAATGTAAACAGCCGCCAACGCTGCATGAAATGTGCATGAATATGTGCTCTTGAAGGATCAAGATGCGAGCGGTGAACAGCTCTTCAAACGCAAGAGCGAACGCAGCGGAAAAGAAAGAGGCAAACTGTTGCAACATTACACTCCAACTCTTTGCAACGGCTGCTCGATGAAACGCTATTGCATATGTCAGGGCGCGCAAAATGCACATAAATGTAATTACGTATGCGGCTGTATGTCGGATCTGTGAAAGTGAAAGATTTCACTATGTGGGAGAAAATTCAATGCGAAGTGTAGATGCTTGGAATGTGTAGAGAAGTACTTGACCTCTTATGCAGTATTTGTGTGAGAGTATAGGAGTATGTAGACCTTTGTAATGTGTTTTTTTTTTTATTTTATAGAATTACTGTTTTATTCAAATTACTAATTTAAAAAATGCAAATATATAAAGGGTGTTTTTAAGAGTGTGATTTTCAGTCAGACGACACTTTTTCCGAATCACAAAATCCAATGCGTGCTAGAACTGAAGCCGAGCGACCACCAATCGCGTCGCACGTTCGATGAGTGGTTTCCACTGCGTTTCCACTGCGTTTTAAGACCATTGGACTGTTTTGTTTTAGACTTTTATGAAGTCGCGTGTCTACGCAGATAAGAAATGGCAGCCCCACTCAAAGGTATGTCCATTTTTATGGTACAGAGTGGTCACACTGTTTTTTATTAAAATATCATGTCACTCAAAATATCTATATTTTAAAAATGTTATAAACTCCAGCCAAGAAAATGCTTCGATAAATAACACAGAAAATGCAAAATTATTTTACTTTAATTTAAAACAGAGGGCAACTCTAAACATAAATATAAATATATACCCAACTGTTAACAACTGTGCTGAAATTGTTTATAATACCCACTGTTAAATGGTGTAATTGCATTTTGTGCAATTCTTTGCATTAAATAAAATTCAAGCTATGAATAACTGGAAAGGAAAGGAAGCAACTCAGATTGATGAGTTCTTATATTTCGCTTTAACTGCATATTTTTAAACATGCATTTACTAAACTTCAATTAATTTTCATATCAAGTATCACGAAACAGCTCACCCTTTTCTGTTTAAATTAAAAAAATGCATGACAAAAATAGCGTCTCTCGATAGACTTTCACTCTATTCGCCGGAAAATATGGAAAACACCACTCGAATGCAAGTTTCAAAAATCCTTTAGCAAACTGACACCAATCCTCCTTCCCACCGTTCACTCAAAAATGTGGCCATTTCATCACATAAGCTTACAAAAAATAGCAGAGGAAGACAAAGTTGGTCTAAGCGAATACTGTTGGACACATATTTTATTATCTGCTGTAGATTCTACGAAATTCGTTGTGAACGAAATGTGACAAGCCGGAACGTATCTCATCAATTTTGCATTAATAATTTGCCTCTTGAATCCTTGCATTTTTACAACACACGTATATACATAGAAGGTATTCTACCAGGCTGACAGCTTGGGGATTTATAGATTTTAATTTGGCTCCCTATTGCACATAAATCCATGATATGCCACACTTCAGCAGTATGAAATGACCACATAGCGCATGAGGGGCATTTATTAGTAGGACGGAAGAGGAAATTGATAAATTTGGTCAAGAAGAATTGGGAAAGATTGCAAGTAAATTTTCAGAAATCGACAAATAAAAAAGCTGACTCTTCCATACACAACAGAATCCGAGTGAAAGTTAAACACACACCTTCTTCTAATCTAATGTATTCCACTGAAAGTCATAAAAATGAATATGCAATAATTAGGATTTTTTTTATTGAAATTCCGTAAATAACAAACAATAATTAAATATAATAATTTGTGCTAGTTTTCGGCCGAGCCCTTCATCCAATTTGTGGTTTTGCGTCGTGATGTTTCCCCAACAAATGGAGGACCTACTACGAAGGACTGAAGGACATAAATACACGCCGCAACGGTTGAAATTCCCTAGCGAGAGGAGCGTTATTGGAAAAATTATTTTTAGATTAAGTTTTTACAATTTGTTTGTTCGTCTGGCCAGTGTTCAAACTCATGATCTTTTGCAGCCACTACAAATGGCTTGCCCAATTAATTGAAATTCAATCAAGTTGGAGTTTAGAAAATTTATTGGTATTTATGTTGCATTTGTATTTTACAATATATTACATATATTCTATGGAAGGATGTTGAGCAGAATGATTTACGATGTTAATATTCACGTTAATAACAAAGAAGACTTCAGGTACCGTAAAATAGGAATAAAAAGAAGTTATTCGGTGCCAAGTCAGGAATACACGATGGATGAATGACTCATCAAACCGATGTTTTGAGTGTTTAGAAATGCAAGTGCTTCTTCGTCTAGGAACTTGAACGACCTCGTTAGAATTAACCAAATCGCCGATAAACACAAGTTTAAATTATTTTTTCAAAAATCTAATTGCAAATGAATGAGCGCTGTCAGAGGCTGCAATTTTTCTTTCTGTAATTAAATGAAATCGAATTGCACGAACTAGTTTCACGGTGGTCACACGTTGAGATTGAAATTTTTCATGAGGGAGGTACAAATTTAGTCAAATTGCCTGTCTGACAATACATAAAAAAGATTGATATAATACATCGAAAACTGGAAAACATTGCTGAAAAAAATGTATTAATAAATTTTACGAAAAAAAAACTAAACTTTTTTAAAAAGGTGACTTCTTTTCTGATCTTAGTTTTCCTTAGGTTAATAATAAATAAATAATAGTTTACCAAAAATAAACGCTAAAAATATATTTTTACTTGTTGAGATGGCAAAATCAAAATGGATGAAATAAAAATAAATAAAAATAAATTAAAATTCTTACTTGATTTTGAGTCAAAGCTAGTGTTAGCACGTCATCACTTACCTGAAAGTGGAAGAATAAAAGTATTTTAATATTAGATTTTTTTAATTAATTAGTGCACTTCTTAAACTAACATATGTATATACCGTTACTTTCCTAAAGCTACGCGCACTTATTTTTTTTGTAAAGACGAGTTCTAAAAATTATATATGTATGATATGTGCGTATGTACATTTGTAAGAACTTTAAATAAAACATATATTTTAAAAACTCATATAAAAAAGCTGAAGATGTTCTTAAAAACTAAAACATGTATGAAAAAAAAAATATTTTTCTAAAAAAAAACACAAAATAACCTAAATTACAAATCTTAAGATATACATACAATACTTCCTTTAATAAATCCAGCGCGGGTAAGGCTTTTAAGCTCTCATAAAAAATGTGCTTGCAAAAATAAACTAGCGCCACGGAAAGCGGAAAAAGAGCGAAAGTCTATGAGACTTTGATGCGGGGTGAAGCACAAAGGACCAGGGGAAATGTGTGCTGCTTCTGAAATTTTCTTTATTCTTAAATTTTCATATTCTCACGGCACGAGCTTAACATGAAACATATTTGTTATCATTTTTGTACTGTTACTATTTTATTATGTTGCACAGTTCCGGATATGCGCATCGGACCATGCGACCTTGTCTGGAAGTGCAAGAAATTACTACTTCAGCAATTGACATGTGCCGGAAAATGCACGAAAGGAGCAAGAAAGAAAGTGCATAGAAATACATAAACTACATACATATGTATACGAATATGATTGCATCAACAACGCTTCAAAGCAAAAGAAAGATACCCACGCGACACACACAGCCAGAGGGATGAGGACACAGCCAAGAATTTTATATCAAAAATATAAACTAAAAGTTGGGCCTAACCAACCCATGTCTGTTGTTGACAGCCCATGTCTGAGAACTAGAAGACGAACCAAAATAAAAAGAAGAAAACTTAAGGGCACTGGAGCAAAGTGAGTTGTATGTGAGCGCTTCTCTGTACAGGCAGTTGCAACCAAAAGCTGTAATACAACCCAACAAACAATAAAAATGTCGGTATCAATTGACTCACCTCCAATGATTCTACACAATCAGAACATATTTTAAGTTTGAGGTTATCTTTTTTCTTCATGTTAAAACAAAAACAACTCGTTTGGATTTTAAAAATTAATATTTGGAGGAAGTGTTTTTATGCTTGCGGAATGATCCTATGGTTTACAGTGATTCATAACTAGTACCAAGACCTCTAAAAAGTTCATTACCAAAGTAAGTTGCGACCGAACTGAATGAGATGTGATTGGTTTATCGCGATTTTTATCCGGGAAAAACCACGGTACACATGTGGCCGATGCTGAACTAAAGAGAAAGAATTGCCAGACTCCAACCAAGTATGTGTATTTATAAAATAATTCCCAATCAACATGGCCAGATGGATGCCAGGAATACTCACGCCTCCGACAAAAAATAACCGCAAGGGTTGCGCTGCTTTGACTGTCCTTTATAGGACATTCACTCAGCGAAAATAAAAACGCTCTCTCTGGACCAACTTCAAACACAAATGTGTATTGGGAAATGCGTTTTTTGTTTGTTTGTAAATTTTAACCTCTTTCTTGAGGCAAGACGACGGTTGCTGCTGCCGCTGACGCCCACACCGCACGACAGTTGCTTTGTCAAATAAACTTGCCTTAAACCCTTCTGTTGCTAAAGAGAGTTCTGCCAACACCTCGCAAGTATTTCAACTAAGCCTATTTATTTACAAACATACTCGTATGTACAATCGCTGTGCTGTTTGGTGGATCGGTCGGTCGGCTGTTATGTTGCTTTGCTTTTTTCATTACCAAGTCGCTGGTGGTGGAGCTCATGGCAACCGCCGGATGCGGGCACACCAAAGTTATTCGTGCGTTGTTAATGTAATCAACAGCTTATGCTAGGCTGAGCAATAATAAGTGGCACTTTATTTTATTCGCCACTAGGATTTGGGAGAGTTTGAAAATGACTCTTAAAAAGAAGCAACAAAATCACTCAGTACATTATTTGCGCAAATACAAATGTATAAATTAAAAGGAGGACAGTGAGTGTAAGTGATGAGATAACGGGGAGGTGAAGGTGAAAACATACAACACTTGCCAGTATTAGAAAGCAACTGGTTGCTATTGATATTGTGGTTGGATGGACATGTACATATGTGCAGCCGCCGAAGGACAAACTCAAGAAACGTACAAGCATACGAGTATATGACAAGTTTAAGCTCTAAGTTGAATAATTTTGAAAAAATCTATGCTTTCCGCTTGGGCATCGATCCAGCGAATACTTGGCCAGCCATTGCCTAGCGACAGATGTTGCCCAATAAAACTTTCTACATTTGTAAGTAGACCTCTCTGTGCATTGGCGCATTTCAAAAGTACCTTTAAATCTCTATGGACCAGCACATTGGTTATCATTGTAAGCTCAAGTGACATTTTAAGAAATGGGTTAGTTGCCTCTCCCGAATGTGCCACTTGAAAATTGAGTCGAAAATTCAACAAAACGCTCCCTCCCTTAATGCCGTTATAATGTATCCTTTTGCGGACATACTTGTCAATTTCTTGGCAGTTTTTTTTTTTTTTGTATTTATTAGAGTATTTATATATACAATCACTTTATGTTGGTAAATTTCTTTGTTGAATTTTTACGCGCATTCAAATTTATTGAACATATTTTGAGATTATATTGATGCTTTTAAAGAAATTGCACACAAAAGTGCCATAAAAAAGTACAGCAAGTAAAATGGAAGCGAAAACCATACACAAATCTGGAAGCGTATGTAGACAGCGTGTTCTTAAGCTACCTGATATGGATTGTCCTGGCTCCCAAACAAAATGGAAACGCATATGTGCTCTTGTATATCCACATACATACACGTGTATGTATGGAAGTTTACCTTTTTTTTTGTATTGCGTAATGTTTTGTTGAGCTGTCAACGTGACAGCTGTTCTCATATTTTATGGTTGAGCGCACTTGACAAGGGATTTCCATTCATTTGTGGCATGTCATTTGGAAAGTAAATATTGGTAATTTTTATAAGGTTGCTGATTTATTTTTTTGCTTGCTCAGTGCGTTCAAATGATTCTAAAGAGGATTACATATTATACAACAACAAAATGTATGAATATGCAAGTAAGGGAAGCAAGTGATTTGGGTAAAAGACATTTTTGTTAAAGGAACTTGCCATATAAAAAGCGAATTAGGAATAATAGGGTGCCGAGGAAGAACAGATAATTGCCGTGTCTACATAAAACGGACTTCAAATTTTTTTAAACTGTGAGAAATATTTTTTGGTTAGAAACATCTTTGTTTGGTTCGATTATTTTCTGTGAATAGCCATCATTCTAGTCTAGTTATATTTCATATTTATTTAAACTTTATGGTTAGCCATATATTATATTCAGCCATATTTTATTTTTAACCATATTTCATGTTTAGCCATTTTTAAATCCGTATTGCCTTGAAATTTCAATCTACTATATAGGTGAAAGAAAATCTTACATTTTGTTGGTTTAAACATTCTATATGTTTACTTCATGTAACCTCTAAGCAAGGAAAACATTGCAATTAGGTTTACCAGCGAAAACATAGACAGGCACCCCCTCAGGCGTTTTGCTTTTCTCGCTCTGTCTCCCTCTTTTTCCCCCCACAGATCATCATTTCTTGTACATACCAGAAACCGCCGAAGGCCAAACTGCTGTATTGAATTAAGTGCAGCAGACCGTAAGAGACATAGAAGATAACCATGGCAATGGTGTGACAGAAAAATATAAACGAAAAATGAGGTCCTTCTTGTTAGGCAAGAACTCAAGGAGGCGGGCAGGGAAAACTAAGAAAAACAAATTTAGCCAGCCATATGCAAGGGAGGCAAAGTCAGTAAACAGCATGCAACACAACAACTATTGTACAAAATTGATGCTCATTCAGCGAGAAGTTGTTAGCCAAAAATTGGCAATTCAAATGGAGCTTCTAATTGGCAAGCTTAGTTCGCGTCGGGAGAGGGAGGATGGATGGATGGACCGAGTGAGTGAGCGAGTGAGCGAGGAAAGGGTGCCTACAATGCTGACAAGTTGCTAATTTTCAACAAAGAATGCCTGCATTTGAAAGGCTGCCTAATTTTCGCATTGAATTCGGCAGTCAGTCAAGGCGGTCAAAAGCTGTGCACCCACTATGTATGTATATATAAGAAGATTAAACATGACGAGCACTGTTGCAATTTGAAAGTTAAAGAGTGGGTGTGTTATTATACGAGTGCGGTGGGAGAGAGCGCAAATGCAATTATCCTGCATTTGGTGTTGTTAATTATGTGCTAATGAGCGTAAATTACATGAGGTGTAAATTGAGTTGAAATTTATAATGGAGTTATACGGCTTCTATGTATGTGCATATGTGCATTGTAACATTGCAAGGAAATAGTCCTACTATAAAATAGTGATTTGAATTGGTTAGAGCGGGAGAAAGAGAAATTCTGTTCGCAAAATTTAATGACTTATTACAAACAGCATAAATTTGAGAGTAATTTAAAGAGACGAAGGGGAAAGACGGCAAGAGCTTATAGTCGCTTCCAGAGAAATGAAGGAGTGTAAAGTAACTTAAAATACAAATATAACAATTACAAAATTTCAATTAAAACAGTATTACATTTGCATCATTTAGTTCTTACTCACAGGAAATAGTCAACTCATACAAACAAAATTAAATTATTTCTAGCAAATTTCGAAATTTTGGAGTGAAAAGTCAGCTAGTTCAAGTTTTTTTTCATGCACAATTTATCAGTTGTTCCACTCTTCAAATTTCAAGATGAAAAGCGTTCAAGTTTGTTAAGGTATGGATTTATTGTACGTAGGAAAAATGATATACCAGGAGACAATCAACATGCTGCCCCCTCAAACCCAATGTTTCGCTTATGAAAATAAATGGAATTAAATAAAATGAAAATTCAAATAAAACAGTAATGAAAAATAAATACGCTGCGTATATAGAATAACATTTCGTAAT